GCTACGTCCATTCATGCCAAAATACTTTAGATGACATTAACAATTCAAGTTACCGATTACATTGCAACCTAGTCTCATAAATCACACTATTTCTCGAGTCCAATTACAAATGTCAACATCATCAAATTGTTGTTTATCCACCTAGTATTCCTTAAAATGCATTTTTCATACCTAAGATACAACTAATGGACATGTAAAGGTTGAATCTAAGCTAAATACACCAATAGGCAGAATCTGTTTTTAGGTTTCTATTGCTGTCCAAGTATTTTTCCAATCCTTTTTCACCCCCTTAACATTATCCAAAAATTCCCAAATTTTTACCACACTTCTATAACACATAGGTAAAGGTAATCATGCCATATATTAGTCACAAATGAAGGATTTACAGCTTTGAAATCATTCCTTTTTCAAACACCAAATCAAACATCTTTCTCCTCTTGACTGTTTTGAATTTCACTTGAACAAGACTTTCAAAAATTGGATTCCAAAATATTAAAGATCATTTCTATACTTCTAAGTCTGGTATAAAAACATTCATATGAAAAAAATATAAGTTATACCTAAGGGATTACTTAAAACCAAAGGTTAAACCCTTCAAATCTATCAATCCACAATTCTGCCCAACTGATTATCTCTCAAATTCTCCTAATTAATTGCCTCTATCTTTGCCATCATAAATCATAAAAACACCCCCAATATGATCTTAATAAAGTACAGAGATTCAATAGGTTGTAAAACTCTCAAAAAAAATAAAGATATACCTCAAAACAGTGAACAACTTCAGCTGTCCAGAAATTCAAGCTTTCTGTTTTCTAACTCTCTTTGGTTCTCTTGCTTTTTCTTTCACTTGGGTTCATTTGGTGATAAATTGGAGGGATAAAATACCTTAATATGGGGTATTTATAGAGTCCTAAAGGTTTGGGGTCATGAATCTTGCTTAGGGACTAAGAAACCACCTCATGTAGCCAGGTTGACATGTGTTAAGCAAGAGGTGGCTTCATGCTTCATTATTTGACTTTTCCTTCATCATATTTGGATCCATATATGACTAATAAGACATATACCTATCCTATATGAAGTATCAAGGGGCTAAAAGATGTGGTGGAAACCGTAATGTTGAAGGAATTGGCTGGTAAATGACAAGTCTCCCAACCATGAGGTGTCCAAGCATGAGGTGTTTTCTTGCAGCCATCCTTGACTCTTTCTTTCCCATATTTGGATCCTTATGTGATTAATAAAACATATATCTATCCAATATAAGATGACAAAGCTTTAGAAGACGTTCTAAAAGCCTTAAGGTTGAAGGAATCTACCACTACAAGGATAAATCAACAAGTAGGAGATGACTAAGCATGAGGTGCCTCTTGGAGTTACAATCTGATTTTGTACAAATTATTGCAGGTAAAAATCGAGTATTCTTGGATTATTCTAATGTGTTTACAATCCAATTTACTTTCCCTAAGATCCTAAAATATTTTATAGCATTACTTCCTCAACTGTTTATTTAATTACTTACCCGATTGACACACGATTATCGGTCGATTTCAACAATTCGCACCTCAACATTTATAACATCATATAAAACCCATATTATTGTAGAGTGATCATGTTACTTCATGCTTCATGTCCTAAATATATTAATTACCTATCTAGGGTTTATGGTGATCTCGATCAATCGAACGGAAAGCTTAAAACTTTATCGATACTAATTCCGGATTTTGTAAAATTCCTATTACTTAGCAAACCAATCTCCAATACCTAACTTAACCTAATTTTTCTACGATAACTCAATGTAAAAATCACCTCTTAGGTCGAGGAGCCGAAGACTAACACCATATAAAAGTCTTAGCACCTCGACTATCAAATGCATCATTTAAAAGAAAGCAAGCAGGAAATTTAATGCAATTGACATTATCGAGTATGAAATGCATGAATCATATTGACCAAATGTAATGTGAAATTCGGGGTATTACAAAAACAAAAATAAAATAATCATACAAAAAGCTCAATATCTTATATTTTTCTTCGGAACCTATTTGACTTGAGTAATTAAGCATGCGGGGTGTCTCATAACCTGGTGCATATGGTCGACTGACTTGGGTCAACTGACCTAAAGCTCGCTTTAGTTGCTTAATGAAGTAAAGCCTGCACTTAAGATGAAAAATAATAATGGGTTTCGTTTATTAAATGATATGACCAAAATCATTTTGCTCATACTCAGGGGGGAGAAATAGTGCTTCCATTTTTAATGAGCTTTTTGTTATAGTCATAATGTCCTTCAAATGGTTTGCTTTTCATAAGGGAATGAAATTATTAGCAGTGATATTTCGCATATCATTTCTCATAAATTTAAGGTTCGGACTCCTATTTTCAAAGGATTGGTGACATTTTACACATATGGGTTGCTTATACAATTTACTCCATTATAACTTGAACTAAGTATGTGGGAAGGTTTATTGTCCCTTGCTTATCCTTGTGCTTGATTCATAACAGTATTTTCAAGTTATGATGCGTTAATGTTCCTATTTCATAATAAAAGTGAGGATGCAAAGCATTTATTTTTTTTCATTCTTTGGTTACCATGTTGCCCTTGTCATTTATTGTTCTTTCACCAACGTGAGCAACAAGAGAGATTTACAGGCCATATATACACAAAGAAGGAAGATGTGCAACAATTAGAAATGCTACAGAGAAGGAAAGACATTGAGTTATGGCAACTATATCAGAATTCCTTATAATTAATGGATTTTCCTTATAATTATTGCTATGCCTATATTTGGGAAGAATTTGTAAATGATTTTAATTTATAAATAGATAAAAATGAGTGATGAACATATGAATAGTAATAGTACCTATGATCATATTGGTACGTGTGGTTTTAAAATGAAGTTTGAACATTTATAAGTGTTTAATATAAAATTTGCAAAACGGAGACTAAGCCCCTAATGGGTTTAGATAAAAATTAGCTTTTAAGTAATTTTTTATAAAATATTATAAAATGTGTTGATAAGAGTTGCGAAGCACATAAAACGTGTGATTGAAAACAAATTTGAAGGAAAATAAGTTTTAAAAAATAAGAGACAAACATGTAACTCTATTATATAACAGTAGCATTATTCTTATCAGTATAACTAACGGTTTTTATAGTATTAGACAACTTTGACGGGTAGTATAAACAATACTTTCTCCACTTTTATCATCTTATTCTTCTCTTTTCTTTCTTATAATTTTGGTTCTTGTTCAATTGCGTTCATTGTCAGTAAAAAAATTCCAAAATACTCATTTTTAAATGATCAAAATGGAAATTGACAACCTGCCAAGAGTGTTAAGTGTACAAAAGTTACTAATCAATTATTGATATTTTATACGATATTTAAAGAAAATGTTGCATCCTAAGTCCATTTCGAGTCGGAAAAGCAACCAGTTCAACTTCATGAACTAAGCTGAGTACCTCTTAGATCCCATTTTTTTCATGGGGTGCATTTTTACTTTTTTTTAATGAAAAACAATTGAAGTCTTGTTTACCACAAATTTTTTTAAAAAATTATTTCAACCATGCATTCTCTAAAAAAGTCATTTTTCACTTATAAAAAATTGTGCTAATCAAGTTGTGAGGTTCCTTACTCACATTATTCAAACTCTCCTTGTTTTGATTGATTGGTAACAAGCCAAATATTATGCTTGAAGGAAGAGAAATTTTACTTTCTTGACAATTGATACTTCATATACTATTTAAAGAATTATCGTAAGTATATATAGCTTATGCATATCATGACTTAGTAAACAAATTGTAACTATTTACATCGTCCTATAACGATGTTCCTCTAAAGCAATCATTAACTAGTCCTAGAACTAGACTTAGAATGTAATGTTCGGGGGATTCATACATTGACTTGGTGGGTTCCAAATCACTTTGCAAATGATATTAATAATCTTAAATTCATCTGTTTCCTAATCTTGATTAGACATGAGTAAATTTCTTGTAATTGGCACTACCATTTTTAATTAATACCTTTGGTACTACAAAGACTACACTCTGATCTTGATTAGACTTGATTAAGTTTAGGTTTGATGTATATTAAAATTAAATTTTTAGCAGATTGTTATAAAAATTGATAAATGTGTGATTGAAAAGTTATGAATTATGTGTAATGTGTGTTTAAAATTAATTGTTGACTTTGACTTGTGATTTTAATTAAATTTTAGTTTACACCAATTATTCCATAGCCTAAATTTACACCAATTTTAGTTTACACCAATTAAACATAGCCTAAATTCTGTAAGCCAATTATTCCATTATACTAATATATTTCAAGCTTGATTTGAAAGGATTAAATTTTCTAATAACTACAAGTTGAGTTGGTCAAGAGATCCTAACCATAATAATTAATAAAATATGTTTCTATTTGGATAATTTGAAAATTAAAGGTACTCGTATTTGCTTGTTCTTAATATGAGAATTTCTTTACAAATTTAAGTCCCTCTTTATAATTCACTACACCAAAAAACACAATTTGCAACACATAAAAGGCAACATTTGGTAGTTAAATGTTGCTAAATGGATCTATCACAACATTCTAACGCGTAAATGTTGCCATTGCTTAACAAAATTGAGTTTTGGCAATATTTTTTAAGTGAATGTTGCTAATATTGTCTTTTCGCAACGTTTTTTAAGTGTTGCAAAAATTTTTATTTTTTGCAGCGTTTTTTAAACGTTGCAGAAGACAAAAACATCTTTAGCAACGTTTTTTAAACGTTGCGAAAAGCGTCTTTTGCAATGTTTAAAAAACTTTGTGAAATAGGCTTTTCACAATTTTTTTTTAATGATCTTTTCACAACATTTTTTTAGAAAACGTTGCAAAAAATCCACGCTTCCTTTAAATAAAAAAGCCCTAACTTTTCCCCTCTCGTCTCTACTTATCCTCTCTTCTTCCCCTGCTCTTCAAAGCCCTCTCTATAATCAAAGCCCTCTATTCTTCCCACTACTCTCTTTGTAATCAATGCCCTACCCTTTCGCGATTTTGCCCTCAGGGTGGAGGCAGCAATGGTGGGCGACAATGTTGTGTCGACAAGAACACGAGGGGTTGAAGAGTGGTGAGGGGTCATGGAACATGGCTTGGGATGCGCGGCCGGCGTGCGGGCTACACCATCCTGACTCGGCTTGGCTCCTCTTTGGCTACACCATCCTTTCCACCACTCTCTGCGTATAGTACAAGCGCGGTGAGCAAGATTTTGGTTGTTTGCTTTATTTTATTTTTTTAATTTGGTTTTTGATTCATATGAATTTCTCGGTCCACTGTATTGATTATTTCAGAGGAAATTGTATTTTCTAAATTTCTCCTTTGTTACAATTGTTCTCCATTTTCAGAGAAAATGTTTGATATTTTCGTTTTGTATTGTATTTTAATTTGACAATTAATGTGCTACATAGTACAAAACTAAAGCAGCTGAAGAGGCACTGCCAAAGTCAACAACACCCCGGAATTCATCGAAGAGAACTCGAGCAGCTAAAGTGCATAATTTGTCTGAAAAGGTTTTTTATTTATCATTAAACAATTTTTAGTTTCACTTCATTAACAATTTTCATTTTTGGAGTTTGTATGTCTACATTCCTCTAATGAATTCTGGGTTTTGATATTCTGTGATGCATTTGGCAGAGGAGGAGAAGCAGGATTAATGAAAAAATGAAGGCATTGCAAAATCTAATTCCAAATTCAAACAAGGTAGAAACCAGATTGAATTTTTATGTTTCTTTTTTAATGTTTAGTTGTGATGTTTATTGAGTTAATTCTAATGTAGTTTCTTTGTTACTTCTAAATGTTCATCTCTTGCAATTGTGGTAGACGGACAAGGCTTCAATGCTCGATGAAGCAATTGAGTACCTCAAGGGCTACAACTTCAAGTACAGGTTTGAACTTTATTCGGTTTCTGTTGAAAATAATTGAAAAGGATAGAAGTCTTGCCTTGTAGCAGTTGAATGATCTTAATTGTGACTCTCAAACCTTGAAAACTCAATATATTTCCATTGCTAATCGATTGGCCGGCTATTTCATGGTTTGATCAATTGGTGTTTAAATAATTATTTGTCTTGTCACTATACTCCCTTATTGCATATTTATTGTCCAGCTAGTCGAGTTTAGTTTTGTACTATGTAGCACATACGTCCTCCTTTGTTAAAATGTTTAGAATTGTACATTTTTGCCTGTTTTGATACTTGTTAGCATGGTCTATCATGATATCATTGCATCTTAGCTTTGTCAAGAGATTTTTTGTTTTCTGGATGTGCCAACTTCAGTTAACTACATATGGTCTAGTATTGTCTCTTCTCAGTCGACCCTCTTTGTAAAGTTTTGTCTTTTCTTTTGTTAAATCTAGGCTATGAATTTATTTTGTGTTTGAAAGCACTTTTAGCTTTTATTGGTTGTTCTAGAGTTCTCTAAGATTTATTAGGCTTTATGTGTAACTTCCTTTATCAAATGAAAATCTTTTGTTTATTGATAGAATTAGTACTGTATTAAGGTATTAGCAGTTTCTTTTTGACAAAGGGCACGACGAATATATTAATTTATTAGTATGGAGGAGGAAATGTGGCGTTGTGTATCCATGGATTTGGACTGGTTTTTGTGTGTTTCTTTGGACTTGTCTTGCTGTGAGAAACATAGATTTTAGTGGAAACTTGAAGTGCTTCTAATTTATTTTCCTTTTCAGTGGTTTTTGGTGTTGTTTTCTAATTGTGGACATTTGAACTTTTACATGGCATTTAATGGATATCATTCTTTGATGTCACTCATGTTGTCCACATTTCCCCATATTCATTGGTCAAGAGAAAAAGCCATATTGCTGTGAATGTGTGGTGAACTATTCATTTGGTTTCTTTTTGTCGACTGCTTGAGCTATTCATCATGATTGGAATTTTGACCTTTGACATACATGCCTTGTGCTTAGCATTTTCAATACACTATAAATATAAATGATGACAAATGCAACATTGCTTGTCAATGGATTCACTTGCATATGGTTTTAGATATGACTAAAAATCTTATGTTACTGGATTTGAAAGTCTGACACCTGACTCCTTTTTAGATAGGTTGAAGATAATTTACCCTCAATTGGTGAGCCAAAGGTATGGTGGCATCTATGTCAGATCCAACATTTTGAAGTTTTACGAAGTTAGAATCTTTGGTGTTTACTGTGTGTTTAATTGCACATTTGCATATAACTTCAACACTAATTATTATTAATGATCTGTATGTCTCCATTTTAACGACGACTTTACGGTTTTCATTTGATGAGATAGAGAGTCTTCATTTTTATTTATCCTCCTAGCTCTCCTTTTCTCTGGCTTAATGTGCAAATATATTCTTGTCATAAGGCCATAACAGGAGATTCTGTCATTTTGAAATTTGAGAAAGCAAGATGCGCTCTTCAAGATTGTCTAAGGCGGGTAGAGGATATTGTACCTCAATCTACCTGTTGTCAGGTAATATAGGTTTTGGTAATTTCTGTGTGTCATTTCACGTGGGATGTGCTTAATACTTAAATATTTTAGTAATAAATTTCCTCCCTGGAAATTTGCGTTTAAATTCCTTTAGCTTCTAATAGTGACTTATCTCAGATTGCTAATATCTTGAATGAACTTGAGGGAATTGAATTCTCACTTGATCCTATGGAGAAGCAAATTGGGCACGACATCATTGTGTTACTCCAAAAAGGGAGAAACTTCAATGGCAACTGTAATGACAATAATGAGCTTGAATCTTTTCACCAAGCTGCTTCAAAACTTGGTATTACCTCTTCAAGAGCTGCACTTAGAGAAAGAGGGGCTTTAAAGAAACTTATAGAAAGAGTCCGGGCTGATGAAGACAAAAGAAAGGAGTCAATAGTAGCTTATCTTTTAGATCTTATCAGAAAGTACTTGAAGTTATTCAGAAGTGATTTCTCAGATGATAATGATTCACAGGGCTCAACACCTTGTTCGCCCATCGTCCATGGATCTTTGGAGGATGGTTGTGTGCCTGGACGCAATAGTTATGTGTTCGACCGTCAACTCTCGAAACTCAATTATTTTAATTTTCGACCAGCCTTTAAAAGATCAAAGCACATGCCCTTACCTCCAGAAGAGTTGAGATGTCCAATATCATTACAAATTATGTACGACCCCGTTATTATTGCTTCTGGGCAACAATATGTTTATCTTACTCCTTTTTAGATAAGTCAATTACTCAATTACCATAACTGAAAAAAAAAAAAAAGTCTACCGCAACGTTTAAAAAACGTTGCAAAAGGGTCTACAGCAACGTTTAAAAAACGCTGCAAAAGAGTTTTTCGCAACGGTGAATAAAAGCTGCAAAAAGTCTTCCCTCAACGGCAACACCGACCTGTGCAACGGTTGGAAAAACACTGCAAAAGGTCTTTTGCAGCGTTTTTTGGCCACTGCAAAAACCCTTTTTTGGTGTAGTGATTTTTTCTTGGAAAATTATTACAAATTCTCTTATTTTTCTCATTTTTTTTTCAATTCCCTTTAATTAATTATTTTTTAATAAATATTTTTCAATTTAATTTTGAATTATTTAAATGAAACTTTTTCATCGTCTCATCTGATTCATTGCTCTACTACTGTACCAAACACTAAATCTTTATTAGACACGAGTAAAATTTAATACCCTTCAAGCTAACCTAGTCAAGAAAAAGCTCCCATAGCAATAATGTTCTATTTGGACATCTAGAATGTGAAAGTCAAGTCAATTTGTTCGTATTAGAACTGTAAATGTATTTAGTCTGCCTCATTATTACTTGGCCTGTTGGGCCATTTGTGTAATTGGGCCAGAACTTGTTAAAACGCGTTTGGATGAAACACGCCTTTTGGCCTCTTGAAGGTTCAGGATCTGCCCTACACGTGGCTGTATTCTGATCTTTGGATTGTGACTGTTGAGTTGGATAGATACGTGACTTGGTCTTGGCTCATTTCTTCTAGTTGGTTCTGCCTTCAATCTATTCGTTTTTCTCCTTTTCTTGGAGTGATAGTTAGGGTTTTCTATTGTAAAATATGTAATTGATATTTGTGGTTTCTTCGATCTCTGATTCTTTGTGAGTTCTTGATTGTTCTGTACAATCATTTAGAGAATGAGGGTTGTGTGATTACGTTTGTAGAAGAGGCGAGATAAAACTCGAAGAAACTATTGGTTTCTTCGTACATTCTATACTAATTCTTGGTTTGTTCTTATTGGATCTAGAGCTATATCTCATTGTAGATGCTCAACGGGTGATTAGGTCGCAGATTGAACATTTGGGCCCTTAGGGGCGAAAAATCCTTGTGTTCTGATTTTCTTTAATTTCTGCAATTTTGTGATTGTTGTAAAATTAGATCCTTAGAATAAGTTGTTTCGGAGCCTAACAAGTGGTATTATAGCTTCTGTTTTGGGAAAAGATTTGGCAGGTGTTAGGTTTTTTGGTGTTTCTTGGCGTGGATCTGGAGATTTGGGTTGAGAGTTTCATATATTTTGTGACGAAAAATTAGTTTTTCCTCAAAACTCTTTTGAACTCGCTATAAACTCTGTTGAATCGTCTGTTTTTAACTAAGTCTTGGTGTTTCTTGAAATCTAACTCGCTACTGTATTCTGGTGATTCGTTGACTCGCACTGAGTTTGGGCGAGTTGAGGTAACTCATACCGATTATTGCTGAGTTCGTGACTCATTTCTGAGTTCCCACTAAGTCTTTGTGACTCGTTGTTTTATTGCACCTATGTTGGAATTCTTGGTGCGATTATGGTATTCTTCTATTGCTTTCCTCATTTTGAAACATTAAGGTTTCAGACTCTAGTATTTTCTAAAACCCCCTCTTTAATTTGCTATATTTCAGTTAAGTTTGGAATTAGTTACTAGGGTAAGTGATCCTCAATTGCTTTCCTTTGTCCAAGATCTCCTGAAAGGATATGGGAATCTGAGGAAGTAGTGGAACCTAGGGTTACAAGTCCTTAAACTGTTTCAAACGATAACATATTTTTGAATTGTTTTAACATTGATTTGTGATTTGCATGATAAACATATATACTTGTTATTATCTGTTTTATTCAGTTGTTCACTTATCTTGTTCATTCTGTAAAGTGTCTGAATCATTATACTCTATGTGCTGTATAACCTTAATTTTTTGTACATATCTATCATCATGTCTACTGCACATAAATTTGAACTTTAGACATGGAATGGGATTGAAGACTTCAGTCTCTGACACCAAAAAATGGGGGCTCTATTACTGCAACAAAGATGGTTGCAACCCTTGATGGTCAATGGGCTGCAGAAACTAGTGCCTATAGGAGACAAGAATTAGATGATACTACATGAGTTCAATTTTCTTACACTTATCTAATAATGTGATCAGACTAGTTGGTGAGACTACTTCTGCACTGACACTCTGGACTAAGTTAGAAGCTCTTTATCTGACTAAGACCATACCAAACAAATGTTATCTCTTAAGGCAATTCTATACCTTTAGGTTTGATCCCTCATCTAATTTGGAAGAAAATCTTGATAGATTCACAAAATCGATTCAGAACCTAACAAATTGCGATGAAAAACTTTTTGATAACTAACAAGTTGTTGCTTTACTATACTCGCTTAGTGATAAATATAAGGACATCGGAAATGCCTTAGAATATGGGGGCAAGATCTTACTATTGATATAATAACATCAGCCCTGAGGAACAAAGAACTTGAGTTGAACGTTGAGTCAAAATTCTAAATATGGGGAAGGATTGCACAAAAAAGAGAAACTGAATCATAATAAGATAAAACCCATATATAATTACAATACTCACAAGAAAGGAAAAATTCAAAATTTTAGATTCAAAGAGAAAAATAAAAGTTATGTGAAATCCAAGAATCAAATCAGAAAATGTTATTACTGTGGTAAAATAGGGCATGTAATAAAAGACTGTTTCAAGAAAATTTCAGATATGAAATATAGAAACAATTCTGATGGTTCTGCAGCTGTGGCCTGCAAGAATGAACCTGATATTCAGGGGGTGGTTCTTGTGAGTACCACCAAAAGAGACCCAAAGGAATAATTCATTGACTCTGGCTGCACTTTTCACATGTGTCCAACTAGAGAATGTTTTTCTGAGTTTGTTGACCTCAATGGGGGACAAATTTAAATGGAAAATGACATGAGTTATCAAATAAAGGGAATTGGAAAGATTAAATTGTTGTTGAATAACTATATTCTTGAACTTGAAAACACTAGATATGTGCTTGAATTTAAAAGAAACCAAATTTCCTTGGGACAATTAGATAACATGTACAATATTATGATTCATAAAGGTCTAATGAGACTAAAATAAGGCAATAAAAATGTGATCTCATCTTAAAACAAATGGCATATACACTATCTCTGCTGATCCTATGGTAAGCCATTATTCTGCAGCCTTAAACTCTGAGTTTAACAAGTCTTTTATTTGGCATAAAAAACTTGGCCACATTTCATAAATGGGACTGACTATTTTAAATAACCTTGGTTGTTTTGGAAATGAAAACATTAAAAAAATGGATTTTTGTGAAAACTGTGTATTTAGAAAACATAAAAGGTTACCTTTCAAAACTGGAACCACAAATCCACCTCTATTCTAGACTATTTACGTGCTGACCTATGGGGCCCAACATCTATAAATATCTTAAGTGGATTTAGGTTCTATCTACTTATAGTAGGTGATTTTTTAATGAAAATATAGATCTGTATTCTAAAACAAAAATCTGATACTTTTCAAACCTTCAAATAATGGAAATTAATGATTGAAAACTAAACTAACAAGAAAATCAAAGCAGTGAGGACTGATAATGGACTTGAATTTTGTAATTCAGAATTTGATTCATTTTGTAAAGAATCTGAAATTCTAAGACACAGAACGTAACATACACTCCTCAGCAAAATGGTGTTGTTGAGAGAATGAATAGATACCAATTGGAAAAGGTAAGGTGTATGTTGTACAGTTCTGGTCTCCCTAAGTTTTTCTGAGGTGAAGCCCTAAAAACTACAACTTATCTTATAAATAGAAGTCCATCCAGTGCCATTGATTTTCAAGTTCTTGAAAAACTATGGTTTGGAGAAATACCTGATTACGACAAGCTCAAAGTTTTTGGCTGCACTGCTTATTCACATCAAAGTGAAGGTAAATTTGAACCTAGGTCCTTCAAATATATTTTTTTGGGCTATATATCTTTTGTTAGACTACTTGCTCAAATCATAAAATTACGAGCGCAATTCCTCGATTACTCAATCAAAAGTATTCGTCTTGACAATGCTAGTGAATTTAGATTACAAGCATTCGATGATTATTGCATGTCAATTGTGATTGTTATTGAACATTCGGTTGCACATGTCCATACACAAAATGGTTTAGCGGAGTTATTTATTAAACGTCTACAATTTATTACTAAACTATTATTTATAAAAACAAAACTCTCAACTTCTGTTTGGGGTCATGTCATATTGCATGCTGCGTCATTAGTTCGTATCAGACTAACTGCATATTATTAATATTCACATTTGCAATTAGCATTTGGTCATGAACCTAATATTTCCCACCTTCGGATTTTTGATTGTGTTGTTCAAGTCCTTATTTGACCCCACAATGGACTAAAATGGATCCCAATGAAGACTTGGAATTTATGTAGGTTTGATTCACCATATATTATTAGATATCTCGAACCTTTAACGACTGATTTATTTACTGCACGTTTTACAGATTATTATTTTGATGAAATGATTTTTCCAATTTTGGGAGGAAAAAAACTACATCCTGATAAATAAGATAAAATTTCTTGGAATGAAACAACTCTATCTCATTTTGATTCCCGCAGTAATCAGTGTGAGTAAGATGTTGAAAAAATCATTCATTTGCAAATAGTTGCAAATCAATTATCATATGCATTTGTTGACACAAGAAAAGTGAAAGAGTCATATATACCAACAGAAAATATTCCAGCAAAAATTGATATCCATGCATGACAATTTGCTGTAGTAAATGAATCTCAAATACATCAGTTGGTTCAAAAGACTATGTACCTCGAAAAAGAAAAGTACAAGAGAAAATCCAATCAAAAATTTCAGAAGAAGTAACATTAGAGAAAATTGATCAATCAAATATTGAAAATATGGATTCTGAAAAATCACAAGTATCCGAAAATAATGAGATTTCAATAAATTATATGTTATCT